TTTAAAGATAAAAATAGGGTTAACAACAAAGGAAAAACTGCATATGGCCGTGAAGCAACAAGTTAGTATGCTTTTGTGAAGAAATGAAATGTCATATATGCTCAACACTTCAAAAGAATTACTATCGTGAGACAATATGTATGAAAGTTAGAAATCTAAACAACACATATGACACTAGAAAATTAGAATTAAAAAAAGATGTTAATTATAACTTCTGTTAGCTTCTTTTTAAGTATAACCACTAAATTAATCGCCCATTTGATTTAGTTGAAAGAAAAATTTGTAGGGCGAATAGCACATGAACGAGTACTGAATAAACAATATTTCAGGAACTAAATTCACTACTTTTTATTCTTAAGAAANATATATATATATAATATTTTTGACCAATCAATGGCCCTTTTTTTTAACATCCAAGAAATGTTGGTTAATACGCTTTACTCATTTTTGAAGTCTTACGTAAATTAAATGATACCAAGAACGTTATCAATGACAGCGGTTTAGATAATCGTTACAGTATCGCCAACAAGTATAATGAATTAAATAGTGCAAATGAGTAAAGAAAATATTGTATGAAAAATAGAGAAGATAAATATTTCTCGTAATGATCTCCAATATTAAAAAATATATCTTTCAAATATATTTAATTCTTTTCGATATTTATAGATGCTACAACTGAACAATATTTTTGTCTTAGGCTTCTCATTAGGTTACATGCTTCGGATATCTAGCATATGCTACGTGAGTCATATCCGTAAGTAGCAATTGTTGCATAGAATGTGGCGGTCGATGCAATATTACCAAGTCTTCTTTCTGCATTCATCCTAACTTCGCCAAATGATCAACACAATTATTTCCTTGTCTCCGAGTATGGATTAGAGTAATTCCAAGTTTGGATATGAGATTCCTGCATTCTTCCATCAGAACACTATCGGGGTGACTTTCAGTGACATTATCCGCCACGGTTAGCAACATTAAGGCATCGCTAGAGTCGGTTTCAATAAGAACCTTCTTCAAGTTGTAGTTTTTTGCGAGAGTCAGCCCGCCATGTATGGCCCACAATTTCGGTGTGATACTTGATGTCGCTTTCATGCCAAGTCGGCCGTAAAATCCTCCTATCCATCTTCCTTTGTCATCTCGTGCAATATCTCCGAACCCCGTTAATCCTGAATTAGGCATAAAACTATCATTTGTATTAATCTTGATATATCCCTGAGGAGGAAAAGACCAACTAATGTAGATAGGTGCACTGTGTTGTTTGACTGATGATTGTACATGACTAATTCGAGCAGTGTTTTCGATAAAAGGAAAATGAATGCTTTGTTCGTGAAAATAAGGCAAGTAAAGTGCCATGGCTGTTCACACACTTAATTATCAGACTTTGGCTACGAAAACTTTGATGGAAATGAAAACTACAAAGGAAACCAAAAGCAGTTTAGAGAAGCTTTGATAGATTTTAAATGACTAGGAAGTAGGCTATTTATAGTTATTTATTTAACATAAACCTAGTTGGACTAGGATTTTTGCTATTTTTTCCTAATTCTAGTTTTAGAAGGTTTAGGAAAGTGAACATAGGTTTTCTAAATGAGAAAAAAACTAAAGAAACAAACTAAAGTGATCATTTAGAATAATTTAGAAACAACGTAAATTATTATTTTGGTTTGTAAAAAATCCTTTTCCCAAACTAACTTGGACTGGTTTTGAAATTATCCTTTTCTTTCATCAACTTGGATTCTATATTGGAATTCGTGCCCAAGCTTTGGGAGACAGCTAATCATTACATTAAATTGAGAATATCATCATTATTATAGAAAAATTTGAAACATCTTCCCAAAATCCTGCTTTCCTATCTCCTTTGTTTATCTGCCCATTTTGCTTTTTGTACATTTGACGAAATTCCTTATGTTTGTTTTATAAGGCTGAATTTTTTTTCTGCTTTTCACTGCATGAACATAGTTTTTAGGAAAAAGACTTTATTTTTACAAATGACCACAAGAAGTTAAGCAACTTTCGTTAATTATCATAGTTGGATAAGCCCTTTTTATTTAATAAGCTGTTGTGCAAGGTCATAGCTCGTATACTTGTAGCAATAACTTCAGATCACAATAGCTATTTATTATCAAATTCGGCACCCGTAAAATATCAACAAGCCTTCGTAATACTGCTAATGACTCATAATCACTCATCATATCAACAAGTAGTGTTTTCTCTCTTGTCTGGTAAGACTCATGGCCAGTTCTAGGCTGCCTGAAAGCATTCTCTTCCAAATCCGAACTAACCAAAAATATTGTTCAAAATCCGAAAAATACTCCAGCATAATATACTGGAGTTCCAGCATAAGTATATTGGAACTCCAACATATTATAATGGAGTTCCAGCATAAGTATACTGGAACTCCAGCATATTACAATGGAGATCCAGCATAAGTATACTGGAACTCTAGCATAATATACTGGAGTTCCAGTATAATATACCGGTCCAGTATAATATGCTGGAAGTTCATACACACGTGCTCCAATCTCCAGTATATTATGCTGGAACTTTCCACGTGTTGGAGTTCCAGTAAAAGAAGCCGATAGCCATTCTGTTAAGGAACGATATGCCTCGTTCTAGACCAGTGAATTTACGTGCTATAGGCACAAAAACGCGGTCATAGAAGCAAATGGTGCATAACATTGTTGTTAATGTGAAGACTGTCATTGATGCAGCTGGGATTTCGAAGGAGTTTATTAAGTGTCTGTCCATTGTTTTTGCCTGTTGTACTGAGAATGTGTGTTGTTGAGCATATGCTGTGATTAGAATAATTCCTGATGCCCATATTGGCCCCATTCGGATCACTGATTTTAGCTCTTCTACGCGATGAACTGTGTTTAGTCGTCTCCATAAATTCGGAGATTTTGGATTGCCTTCCTCTGTAACAATTGTTGACTTAGATTGTGTTAATGTATTGTTGGTTGGTATTATTGTATTGTAATAATTTGACAGGTGGTGTAGCTCAAAATTGAGCAGAATTCTGTCCAGTTTTATAGAAAATTCCGACGAAAACAATCAGATAGCTGCCCAGATTTACCCATAAATTCCTAGATTTCTAATTGATTCGGTCGGAAATTTTAAAAAAAAATAATATTTAATAGTCTTCGACGGATTCCGTCGGAAATTAATAATTAAATTATTTAATTTCCGACTGATTCAGTCAGAAATGATATATTTATATTATTTAATTTTAAATAAATAATTATTTCATTTGTATTATTACGACTGATTCAGTCGGTAAATTCCGATCACTTTGGTCGGAAATGTGAAATATTTGGTCGTCTGACCTTTTGAACTTTGCGACCACTTTTGACGGAAATCTTCGACGGATTCGGTTCCCGACCGACCAGTTTTGGTCGGAAAGTAGTAAATTTTATCGTCCATTCCCCTCACATGAAAAAAGGACGCGTTGCACTATAAAAGAGATACATTGCACTACTACATGTACAACATGAAATCCCAAAAGTAGGGTGTGGGAGGGTAGTATGTACGCAGACCTTATTCCTGCCTTATAAAGGTAGAGAGGCTGTTTCAAATAAACGCTCAGCACATTGCACTACTACACGGAGAGAAGAAATTTTAATAAGAGGATTAAGAAAATATACAAAAATGTCACACTTGGAACTCAAACTTGTGAGTTAAAGTAATTGAAGATTGCACTACTTTATCAAATTCGATTGCATCACTACCTTACGAATTCTCCAAAACCAGAAAATACAACTACTAAAGCAACCCAACAGAGGCTTTGTTTTATTGGGGAACCCTTAGTACTTCTCACTAAGCCAATGAGAGCTAAATTTTGTAGGTATATATATATATAAAATTGGCGTTTTTAAATCCTAATTTATGTGGGATCGGGAACGGAGTTAGAAGTGGATATACGGGTTCGATTGAACCCAGTATCTTTTGTCCAAACTCTATATTTGTATTAAAAAATTAATTAAATATATAGAAAAGTTAAATTTAGTACCAATTACTTAAGTCTGATATTGCTATTTAGCCATTTAGGAAATTGAAACAAAAGGAAGGAAACTAAAAGAAGACTTTTAACCGAATTCACGTTGGATTCTAATTAAAAGAAATTAAAAGAAGGCATTTAAACTAATATTGTGATTTCGATATTTCCCATGTACTCCAAATATATTTTCTTTTGCTCATTTATTATTTTTTGGAATAATCGATAGGGTTCACTTATAGTTTTAGATTATTTCAGTAGATTTTTATTACCTTATTTTTACTACATTCTAATGCTTGAATGAGTATTTTGATTTTCATGTGTGCTTGATAAGTATTCTATAGAATGAATTGACGATTGTAAACTTGTTTGGGCACAATAGTAAAATAACTTAGGCATCAATATTCAGATATACTTCAGCAATTTTTTTTTATATATAGTATCGAGAGATGTGGTAGGATGAATGAGATCTCTTTACCCTTAATTAGATGTATTCGGTTCGAACCTTGGGAATCGATAGGTTCTTGATAGGGACCGCTTTCTCTTAATGAACCCTCCACGATGCGTATCCGAATTAGTCGAGCCAATGTATACATAATACAATTGATTATAATAAAATAATCTATAAATAAGAATTTGGTTGGAAGAAAAAAAAGAAAGGCAGACCCAGAGGATTGGCCTGCCAGAAAATACTCAATTTTAGGTTTTCAAAAACAAATAAAATAAAATAATTAAGGATACCATTTCACAACACAATCGAAGTCCCACGAACTGGTAGTGGTGAGCATGTTTAAAATTTTGGGTTGTCAATAATGTGTTATGTGGACATAGATTACCTGTTAAGTTATTTTATATATATATACACCTACTGCGTAAACGATGTATAATTTTGTTAAGCGGATTTGACTTACTATTTTCCACTCGATTTTAGTGGTCAGCAATTATCTCAAATTTATATAAGCCTACCTTGGCCAGCTCTTTCAAGACGAAGATTATATTGTCTAATTTCTTGACCTCTTTGCTTAATAATTCCTTCCATTTATTTTGTGATATTAGCTTTATGTTTGTGTTTGGCTTTTAAAAACATGATGCCACATCCAGAAGTACTAGCAATTTGAGTTAAAGATTGCATCAGAGACAAAACAAAAGTTTTAAGGTATAGTGCTCTCTCTAGATTGAATTTCTTGCTTTTCCTTTAAGTCTTGGCTTGATAGATAAATTGCGTAGTAATAGCACAAGTTAGCCACTTTTCAAATATCCTGGAATTTCACGTGTGTAATTTAATATTTATCGAAGAAATGTCTTCAGAAAAATAATTCATCTTCTTGTATTTAGTTGTAAGAAAGTATGTTTTAAGGAAAATATTTTCCACCCAAAGGGTTACAACCACCGCAAACTCTTAATTCCATATTACTATTCTAGCTAACTTATACATTTTAATCAATTTTTAATAAATATTAAAAAAATATTTTCACTTTCGGACCAAATATTGGAAAATATTTTTCAGAAAAATAAGTCAAAAGAATAAAAACATATTCTCAAACTTGTTTTCCGTCGTAGCAAGTGAAAATTATGATTTCCTCAAGGGAAAAAACCGATTCCATTGTACTAAACATTAATTGCTAGCATTTGCGGTATTTTAAAATTTATTTAAAAAGGGGAGCCTGGTGCGGTCCGGGAAAGGGCCGGACCATAAGGGTCTATTGTAAACAGTCTTACCCTCTATTTCTGCAAGAGGATGTTTCCACGGCTAGAACCCTTGACCTAGGGCTGTGCACGGATTGGATCGGATCGGATTTAGCACATTTCGGATTCGAATTTCGGATTCTAGAAAATGCAATCCGAATTATATCGGATTGGATTGGATTTTAAAGTTTGGATTGGATCGGATTTCAGATCGTATTATTATGCCTCAAAGTTAAACTAATATGTATATTTTCTTTGTAAAAGAAGTAATACATTAAGAAAAATTCATGTTTATGCAATTATGAGAGTACTATGGTGCCAATATAGCTAAATCTAGCAATTGTAAAGGTAATAACTTGGAGGTTGATGTAAAGGAAGTACTTACTATCTGAAATTAAAGTGTAGTAATATACATGCCCTAATAATTTCGGATTTCGGATCGGATCGGATTAAAATATACCAATCCGAATCCGATCCGAAATTTTAAAAAACACAATCCGAAATCCGATCCAATCCGAAATCCGAAATTGAATGGATCGATTCGGATTTCGGATATCCGATCCGAATCCGAATGAACAGCCCTACCGTGACCTCCTATAATTTTACTCCGATAATTTTACCCCTATACTCTTTCCATATTTCTCTTGAACTCAGCTTGCAACTCTGTTGTTTATGAAAATGTGCTTTCTTAAGTTTATTTCTTCTTTGTCTATTTTTGCAACTCTACGTAAACGGATATAGCTTATGCTTTGCAAGTTCAATTGAATCCAGTATTTTCGACACGAAGTACACACGTGAAACTTCACTGAAATTTCTAACAAATATTGAACTCTAAACATATAATTTCAAAAGTACAATTAGTTCAGTGCTAAAAAAATTAAAGATTGAACCTAACGAGTTTAAATATTGGATCTGCCTATGTGTTAAACTTCTAGTTTCTTGATTAATCCCAGGGGAAATTTGGAGATTTTGTAACCAAAATGGAAGCAAATGAAGCAGGGGAATCATTTTTCACAACAAAACTATTTGGTCAAGAAACCAAGAGAACATGTGAAAGAATTTGGAGATGCTTAAAGAAAGACAAAGTCACAAGCGTTGGTATATATGGAATTAAAGGGGTTGGAAAAACAACCTTAGCCAAGCTCATCAATCATCTTCTGCAACAAAAAACTCAATCCCAAGTTTTTTGGATAAATATTTCTCAAGAATTCAGCATCAAGGAATTGCAAAATGATATTGCTGCAGCAATTGGATTTGATCTTTTAGAGGAAGATGATGAAGAGAAGAGGCGATCACGTTACACGAATCGTTCAAAGGGAAAAAGGATTTTGTTCTAATATTGGATGATGTATTAGAAGATATACCTTTAAAGATGTTAGGAAATCCTTTGAAAGTTGAAGGGGGAAGGTTGAAATCCTTCCAGATTCTTTTTTCGAGCACATGAAGGCGTTACGTGTTCTTGATTTAAGTCACACTTGCATTGAGAAGTTGCCTGATTCTGTATCAGACTTGGAGAATCTCACTGCTCTTTTACTTGCATTTTGTTGGAACCTAAGGTCAATGCCAACTTTGGAAAAACTCGAGGCGCTACAGGAATTGGATTTGAGTGGCACCGTGATTCAAAATCTGCCTGAAGCCCTTGAGACTTTGTTCAACCTCAAATGCCTGAATTTGCATGCAATGCGTTGGCTCGAGAAAATACCAATAGGGATATTGCCCCAACTCTCCACTCTCCAACGCTTAGTGTTATCGCATCATATAGACGTAGAAGGTGAGGAACTAGAGGAGCTAAAAGAGTTGGAAGAATTTCAAGGCAGGTTCTCTAATGTTCATAACTTCAACCAATTCATTACAGCTAGGGATGCCTTAGGTTTTATAGAATTTTAGTAGGTCAATATGATGGCTTGGGACCAATGACACAAATCCAATTCAATCATAACAGATTTTCTGATAAATTAGTCAAGTGTTATGGACTTGGGAAAGAAGATGAACTGTTATTGCTTCCACAGGACATCGAGCACCTGAAAATTGAGAGCTGCAATAACTTCAGTGGCTGTCTTTCAGATTGTTTGCCGCGTCTTTATGATTCTATAGATTTAAAGTACTTCAAAGTACGTTGGTGCAACAAACTAGAGTACCTTATGAGGATAGAAGAGGGACAAGAATCCGTCTTATTTCATTTTCTCGAGCATCTTGATCTCCTCGAATTACATAGTTTCATTGGCATTTTTGATGAATGGGAAAGAAGTTTTAAGAGATTCAATTTCACTAGCTGGTATCTTTTCTTGCCTTAGAATGATACGAATCGAGAGATGTCACAGTATTAAGAAGCTATTTCCAATTGGTTTATGCTCAAACATGCAAAATCTTGAGAGAATATATGTCCTCTCTTGTAGTCAAATAGAGGAAATAATTGCAGATGAAAATGATGGAATCGTCGTCCTCCCTAAATTGACAAGAATATACTTATGGTCTTTGCCTGAATTGAAAAGCATATGCAATGGAAAAATGGTATGTAATTCAATCAAGAAGGTGTCAATAAAGGAATGTGGTAAGTTAAGGAAATTGCCTTTCTTTTTTTCCCCTGAAGAGGGAGATGAGAAATTTACCATTGCTTCAACTCTTAAAGAAATTGCTGTACATTCAAGTGATAAAGAATGGTGGGAATCTTTGGATTGGGATAATCCAAACACCAGAAAATAAATGAGCTTCAGCCCTTTGTTAAATATTGGCAAGGATTGTGTCCTATGTTCTTGATTGAGACAACTCAATATGTTATGTACGTAATATTTATTCTGCCTATGACTCCAAATGTTGTTGTAATTCATGTAACATTGTTTTGATTTGATAATTCCTGCTGGTGTTTTCATTTTGTCATGCTCCAGTTGAAATCATTTAAGGTAGTAGGACTAACCATACTCCTCACTGTTGCGGAAGCCAAATGTATATAGTGTGAATAAGTCACAACTACTATACCAAAAA